GCAGCTAGCTTGTTAACGGAAAGTAAAGTTGTTTTGGAATTCAGGTATGTGTAAGGTATTTTGCAGCTGTAGTTTAAGGGTGAGTGATACAGTACCCGTATTTTGAACCATTTTCACAGTTCCATCTGGCAAGTATACAGGTGTAGGTGAATGAATTTTGGTAAAATGTGAAAGTAAGTTAATGTTTGAGCACATTTGGCTAGAAGCACCGGTATCCACTATCCAAGAATCTTTATCAATAAGAGACAATGTACTATAAGCATAATGAAGTATTGAACCTGCAAAATCGTTGAAATGAGCAAAGTTAACTTGGTTGGCCTCCAACTGTCTGCCCTTCATGAACTTGCTGATTTCCTTCTGAACTATATCTGCCAATGAAGCATTATTCCAATCCACTTTCTTCTGTATGTCTGCATCTGTTTGCAGAGGGAGTGATGCATCTACACAGTTAACCATCTGTTTCCCTTTCTTTTCTTTGTACTCCTTGTACCATTCTGGATAGCCATTCGATTTGAAACACTGCTCCCTGACATGTCCTTCCCTTCCACACTGTGTGCAGTTACCAGATAATTTAAAACAATTGTCCCTCACATGACCATCCTTCCCACAGTGAGTGCAGTGTTTGTCAGTCCTATTTGACTCTCTTTTTGAAGTATACCTATCCTTTTTAGACTGTGAAGTTCTAGCTAGCATTGCTGCATTATCAGCTATATCTTTATAAGAAGTATGAACTTTACGTTTTTTTTCCACTCTCAAAACCATTGAATAAGCTTTATTTACATTGAGAAAGGGTTCCATCATCAGTATCTGGTTCCTAATGTGATCATAAGAATCATTAAGTCCCATTAAAAACTGCATCAATCTATTGAAAGAATTCATGTCTGCTACATTCAGGAAAACGAACTAAGCAACTTAATTCATCCCAAAGTCTCTTAAGCTTTGTATAATATTGCATAATTGTTTGATTTCCCTGTGTAATAGAACTTATCTCTCTCTGCAAATGATAAATCATAGGCCCATTGCACTCTCCAAATTGAGCCTCAATTTCTTTCCATAACTGCTTAGAACTAGTGGTATATAGAAAATACTCCACAATATCCTTAGAAATAGAATTTAAAATCCAAGAAGTGACCGTACAATCTACTTGAATCCACTTCTCATATTCTGGAGAAGTTTAATCAGGCATTGCACATTTTCCATTTATGAAACCCAGTTTAACTTTAGCTCCAAGAGCTATTTTCATTGACCTACTCCATGACAAATAATTGTTTTCTGTTAAAGGAATAGTAACCAGATTCATACCTGGATGATCTGACCCGTGTAAAGATAATGGATCACTATTATCGACTGCATTAACAGCTTGAGGTTGAGAAGACTGTGAACCAGATCCTTGCTCCTCTGCCATGTCCAGCAAATGAATCAACAGTACAAGATATCACCAGATCGGCTGCTCTGATACCATGTATGTTAGGTGATTTAATAAAGAACAAATGAGAGTAGAAAAGAATAGAGTAGAGATAGAGTTATGAGAATGGAAAATGAAATTTATTTATCTCTCAAAATCTGTCCTTACCAGAGGTTTTACAGTCCATATATACAAAGATAAATGGATGAGCTGGCTAAAAACCTGCTAACAGAAGATTACACACATAATGAATGGAAAACGTAAGAAACAAAATAAAAAATTATTATGTACACGTCATCAACTCACTAACGACCAGAATAACGCTGCAAGGAGTGAATTTGCAAGTTTTTATTATTATATAACAAATCATCTGGTTAGTTGAAGGATTTTCAACTAAACAAACAAGTAGTCTCATTGCTGGTAAACGGACTTATCATGTGTACTAATAGACCCATGAAATTGGGCTGGAAAACAGATGCTTGTTTATGCTATACTTTGTTTTCTGGAACATTTCCGCCTAATTGCTAAGATTCTATATCTGTCATCCTTTTGACAACTGCTTCTTTGCAACTCTCGCCCCAGACCTACCATGTGCATAGGCCTTGAAACTTTCCAAGTCAATGTCATAATTTTGGTGTTTTCTGCTCCTTTGCTTCTTGTCATTTTTCTTTTGTCCAGGTCTCCCAAGTGCTAGTTGAAGATTCTTCCATGGTGAAAGGGGTTAGTTATGCTTTAAGTGTCTCCTCAATGAAGTGGACTTTGACGCACCAATCAGATTAATTTGACATTGCAGACATGGTTGATACTCTTTAGGTACTGCTAGCTGATGGCACAGAAATGCATTCATCAATTATTTTATCCAATGCAACTCCTTACAGAACTTTCATGGTAATTATGAACTGCTTTCCTAAAAATGTTTACTTAAAAATTACTAGGAGAAGCATATAGTAGAAAGTAGAAAGTACCTGTGTTTTGCCCTTCTTAACTTAGTCTTGTAAACAAAATATGATTTTAAATAGCGCCTTTCTGATAGGAGTTGGTTCCCAGTAATGTTCTTCCAGATGATTTCCTCCATGCCATTAAGTACACTGACTACAGCTCAGTAAGTTACTTCTCACTGTTGCCCTTTCTATGAGGGGAAAGAAAGTCACACACTGTCTTTAGCAATGTAAACTTACCTTATTTCCATCAATCTTTTGCTGATATAGGGGACTACCAAAATCAATATAGCTGTTGATAAATTACCCCACTTCGAATCTTGCAAATTGAGCCCTTCTGGTGCAGGTCCACAGCATGTGGGTACCATACATATTGGTGCAGAGAGGTATGTATTTGTTAAGTATGGTATGTATTTGTTAAGTACCAGTGTATATGCCAGTATGCTTACATCATCAGGAAGTTGAGTGAAGAAAGCTTGAACTTTGAAGATGGATTTCTGTCTAGAACATGAATGAGAAGGTCAATTAGATTACAGCAGAAGAACCCTCTGGTCTCCACCCCACCAAAAAAAGGAAAAAGTAATGGAGGGACAAAATAAAAATAGTGATTAAAGCATAGCTTTAGCTGGTATTTGCTATAGTTTAGTAGGTAAAAGATGTTAATAAAGAGAAAACTGGTTATGTTAAATAACACCTAAGTTTCTGTTAGTACTTGTGACATCAAGCACAGTGGTAGATGTGGAATTTATGTACTTGAGGTAGAAAATAGGAGTCAGATCATGTTCATTACATATGCCTGCCTTTGGCACTGATCACAGCTTGTGATCACTCTCTTCAAATCAAATCAAATATTAACACTTTCTTTTTTCAGAGCATTCAAATATTTAAACCTGTATTTTAGATTTTATTTCCTAAATTTGTGTTGGGAAAATATTATTTTAGTTCTCGAATTATGTACCATGTCTCAATTGAATACCATTTTTTTTCCAGTACAATTTTATACCTGAACTTACAAATTTATTTCAAAGCATGATTTTTTTAATGAAATTTTTTACTCTGTCTTATTTGGGTAACACAAAAAATTCAAAAATAAAGCGTCTATTAAACATAAATTAGAATTCAAAAATGAATATATATATATATAATTCTTGCAGACATCTTTTCCTTCCCAAATTATGGTTATTAAAATTTGTAATTCTAGTAATTACGACTTTCAAACTTTACGGAAAATAAAATCAAAATCATTTTTGTCATTTATGTCGAAGTTTCATAGTTTTATAAAAGTATTCAGTTTTTAAAATAATTTTGTAAGTTACAGATCAAATTCGAAAAAAAAAAAAGTCCCACTTATAACTTAGGTATAGGCTTAGTGACTGAATCAGTAATTTGTCTTTCTATATTTTTATGATTTTAAGGTTTTGTATCTTCCAATTTTTCAAGTATGGAAGAGATTCACTCTGCTTGTCAAGAGGCTGCAAATGGTTTACCATCACAACGGCCGATAATTGAGATGACAATACCATCTGTGCTGGACAAGACGATTTCTCCACCTGGTACAAAAATTTTGATTCTGTTGTATTTCATTAGATTCTTTTTGTTGAGATCTTTTGCATTCGTTCACCTGGCATGATCTATAACACATTTGATTTATAAATCACATTTTGTGTCTTCTTGCAGGTAAGCATGTGATTAACTTGTTTATCCAATATACACCCTATAAACCATTAGATGGCAGCTGGCTAGATCCTACATACCGAGTGAGTTTAGTTTCAAAACTTCTTTCTTGTTCAGTATTAAAATATGTCAAAAAATATTTCCTTACTCTGGGCCCATTTGCTGTTTGAATTTTGGAGATTTCTCATCTCACTGTTTGAATTTTGGAGATTTCTCATCTCACTGAGTCCCTTGGTGGCTAGGGTGTAACTACATTGCCAATCTAATTATGCAGGCATAATTAGCTTCTACTTATTGGAAATTCTATGCTGCTTCAAATGCATGCTGA